TTGGTTCGCCGGCAGTGAGTTCTCCGGCGAGTCTCCGGTGAGTTTTTCCGGCGACTTGGGGTGCTTTTTGCCACTTTCTTCACCTCTCTCAGGGTATCTACTTGCGTCTCCAGGTGTGTTCTCTTTGCCTTTTCTTGTATTTTTGGAGAATCGATACCTAGAGTTAGGTGAAGAACTTGTGAATGTGACATAATTTGAGAACGATTTGGTCGGCCGATGGCTTTCTTTGCATGCTATATTTTATCTTGGGATTTCAGTTCCTCGGCCTACCATTTGAATGTTGGCATTATTTACGGGCTTGTTGTAGTTTTGTGTGTGGTTGGTTGATTGGTGCTTAATTGGTTTGGATTTGGTGTTTGTTTCCCGGGGGCCTAGTCCACTGTCCAAATCGCTCGATTTGAGGGCCCCCGGTGAATTTGGTTGTGTGATCCTCGTGTGCTGGGTATGCTTTTTCTCCGGGAGTCTAGTCTACTGTCCATATCTTTCGATATGAGGGCTCCCGGTGTGATTTTGACTAACATTGACCCTGTTCGCTCGTGTACCATTTTGTCCATTCTTGTGCTTTGCAGGGTCATGGAAGCCTACCTCGACCATTTGAGCATCACCCAGCGCCATCTGCTGCGGACTATCCGTACCCGCACCATCCCCGAGCACCTGCACCTCGATTTTGGGGTGTTCGAGGCGCTTCATGCCAGGCCGCAGATGGAGGCCGCTGTGCAGGCCTATGGTTGGCGGCGCCTTCTCTGCCTCGCCGAGCCGACCTACCAAGAGCTCGTCTGGGAGTTCTATGCCTCCTTCCACCACAACTAGAGGGGGAATGCCGACCATAGTAATGTCGTTCAGTTCACACTCGGCGGGATGGAGCACTCCATCAGTTACTGGGAGTTTGCCAATGCACTTGGGCTCAACTCCCCGCACTCCAGCAACGGGGTCCTGCGCTTGGACCTCACTGATCCCACCGACTTTCCATGCCAGGCGTACTTCCGGCGGATCTGCCTGCCAAACAATGCGGACGAGGAATACATCGCCATCCAGACGCGGGCCTCTCTCCTCAGGCCGGAGTGGCGCATCCTCAACCACCTGCTCACCAGTTCCTACACCCCCAGCCGGGGCCCGGCCAACCGGGTCACCCTCCGGATCCTGTTCTTCATGGAGGCGATGGGTCGCCCTGAGGACACCATCCAGCTGAGCTCGGTGGTCTCCCGGACATTCAGGAAAGCCGCCGCTAGCCAGGATCGCCACCTTGTCTGTGGTCCGGTGATCAGGGTCCTGGCCCGCTACTACGGGGTCGACATCACTGGGATGACCCAGGTCCACGGGCCCACTCCACTCAGCGAAGCCAACCTCCGCGCTCAGCACCTGGTGGCTCGCCAAGGGCGTCTGCACTGGATTGCGGGTCTTCCCCAACCACCTGCGCCCACAGAGGGACACCAGCCGGAGTCCAGCGCCGCTGGAACACGCCGGGTTCCTCGCCGTGCTACTCCTTGTGCCCAGGCTCCCGCGAGCTCCCGCTGCACCCAGATCTCCTGCTCCGGGGTCTCCTCCTCCCGTGGTGGTGCCCATCTCTGATCAGTTGGCGGCCATCGCTCAGCAGAACGAGCGCATTCTGGCCGGCTAGGAGCGCATTCACACCCGCCTCGATCGTGAGAGAGACCGCGACTGTAGTCTGATGTCCGGCCAGCACTACATCATGTCATACCTGGGCCTGGACCCGAACGCAGTTCACTACCCCTTCGTCCAGTCCCCGGGGTATGAGGACCAGTACCCCCCACCTTCCGGCGATGGTGGCGATGCATTCTAGTGGAGAGAGTACCTGGTTATGGCCGTGATTTCTGTTCCAGACTGAGACTCCATGTTGTTGTTGTTTCGTTTGGTTTTGTTTTATTTTGTTTTGGATTGTAGACTTGGGACTCCGATTCTATCACCCAGTGTGTGTCTTTTGTTGACTTTAGCTCTGTGCCTCTGACTGGGTCTCCTTCCAGTCCCTTGCTATTGTCTGGTCTGCCTCTCCATCTCCGTTCCTGATCTCATTTCACGGTAACATCGTTCCCCTTCCCTCTGCTCCATTGAGGACATTGTCGCATTTAAGTGTGGGGGGGGGGTTCTTTGTATTAATTGGAACGTGTGTATGGGTGCTTGGAGCCTAGTCCACTGTCCAAATCTCGAGATTTGAGGGCTCCAAGCACTGCTGTTTGCTTGATGATTGATCGTATTGGCACTATGGATGTGATTAGAGAATTGAATGGCTTTTGACTCGATGCATGACAACTTGAGTGTGACTAAGACAGCCTATTACGATGACTGAGATGTGTAGTAGAGTTGTGTAGGGGTTCAGTTTTCAACTGTTTGCTTACCAACTGCGACTTGCATTTGATCACTTGCTTTTGACAGTCATTTATGCATCTAGTTCAGGGAATCAGAATGTGAGATAGAGCATATAGGTAGCCATGTGAGATTTGAGCCTGCTCGTTTCTTTCTTGTGCGATAGATCCCTCTTCCATGAAATGCAGCATTCACGTTGTCACTAGCTAAGATGATGGAGGCATAGGATTAGCCCACGACCAAACTGACTGTCCTGATGTTTCATATCCCCTAGTCAGCCCCTTTGAGCCGTGTGTTATCCTTTCTTTCAGTCTACAATGAAAAATCACCCTTTGCATCTTTTAGAAGGTTCCACAGAGTGGTTTTTACGTGTTTTCTGCTGTTTCTGCTAAATGTAATGTGAGGGTTGGAGGTAGTTCTTAAAAGTTGGGCGTGTATTTGAAAAATGTTCAGAGGTGGTGGTTCTCTTAAGGAATGAATAAAGAAAAAAATAAAGAAAAACAAAGAAAAAATGAAAGCAAAAGAGAGCCACCACCAAATTCTGAATAATGCCCATTAGGTAGTGTTTCTTAGCAGTCTTGCTTGGAAATGCTAACATTTTTATAACCTCCTTCGCTCTTGTGCCCTAAAGAATTTGATTTATGCAAAATAGCGGGACGAAAGTTACTGGTTTGCTTGACTGTGGTTTGGTCGGGTTGGGAAATGTGGAACCTTGTGCTATAACTACCACCACCTAAAAGGCCTTTTCCCCATGTCCAAGACCCTAGCCAGTCATTTGAACCTGTGTCTAAGACCTCTGGATTAGTTAGTGGTGACACCCCCTATGTGAACTCTAGCATTTAGAGGCTGCATTCATGGTGAAGAGACGTTAGGGATTGAGAGAATAAGCATGCGCATTTTTCACATCAAATTGTCCTGACCCCACTGGTCGAGAGTGAGCGATTCATTTTCTCATATTCTCTATACTCTTTACCCCGGTGAGGACCTAGATTGCTCGGTCTTAATTCTGATATCTTGAGCTTTGTGCATGAAGTGACTGTTTCGAACAAGTGGTTGAGTCAAGTCTATGTTGGTTGGTGAACAGAAGAGAACTCTTCCTTTGCTCGACTTTATTGCATTCGAATGTCATCTATGGTGGTTGTCTAGGTTGTCGTTCGATTTGCCATGTGTTGATGATCGAAAGCAAGTATGATCCACGTGTTTTGTGCCGATATGATTTGCCCTAAAGCCTGCTTGATTGAAATGTTTTGAGCTTACCTGGTGTCTGACTTGGTTTGCTTAGGGACAAGCAAACGGTTAAGTGTGGGGGAGTTTGATAACGATGTAATTACATGATTTTATACCCCTATTTCTTATCCAATTGCGGAGCATAGTTGTATGTTTTGGCCTATTTTACGCCGGGTTGTGCTACTTTGTCCTATTTCAGGTCCCAGGCGTCGAAGGGAAGGCCAAGCGCGAGTTTCGGAGCATTTGGAAGTCGTTTGGTCGAGCCAGGACCAAAACACGGGCAGGAGGCCTCAGGAACACGGCCGTGTTCCTGGCCGTGCTTTTAATGCTGAGGCTCTCCACATGTGTGCTACACCAACTAAAAAACACGGGCGGGATTGATTAGGACACGGTCGTGTCCAACGTAGAACACGCCCGTGTTTTCTCCCAGACCGTGCCCGTGTATTTACCACGTGGCAGAGGGCACGGGCGGGCTGGATCAGAACACGGCTGTGTCCTCAACCGTGTTCTGGCCAGTGATGCCCTTTTAGGCAGATTTCAGCCAAAAAGAGAGGGGATTCGAGTTTTAGAGAGACAGAGCGATTCCTAGAGAGAGAAAGCGAAGAACAAGAGTCTCCAAGTGCCCTAGCTTGATCTTCATCACCATTGGAGCTTGGCTTGAGCTTGGAGGAGTGTCGATCAACGTCCAGGAGCAGAAATCCATCCTTCATAGTATGATTTCCGCGTCTGAATCTGCTTTTGCTTCTTTCTCCATGGAGTAGTTCTCCCATTCATCTGGGTGTGGGAAACCCTAGATTTGTATGTTAGGTTTGATTGTATGAACCCAAGTACTGTTTCTATGATTTGATTATATTCGATTGAGGTTTGAATGATTGAATGGCATGAATCCTGATCAAATTCCTGTTGTTTCTGCTTTAACCTAGAATGAGAATATCTGCCTAGGTTGATAGAGTATCCTTAATTGAAGGTAGTGAATTGGTGACTTTAGTCGAGGAGCCAATTCGCTATTCTGTACCGAATTCAATTCGGTAGTGGAGGTTTGGTTCGTTAGGGCCTCAATCTGTTTACTCCGGTGGAGGTTAGTCGCCCGCTAGAGACTCGGATTGAGAGGGTCTGGAGACCTTTAGTCGAGACTTCAGACTGTTTGAGAACCTTCCGCAGTATAACTATCATAGAAATTGAACTTGGTAATTGCAATCCGGCTTAACTGCAGTCTAGGGGGAACCATATCCGGGTGACCTCTCTTAACCTGAAAACAATCGTTTAGTTGCTTTTCTTGTTTGTTAGTTTAGACCTTCACTAAAGTTTCATTGCTAGATAATACGAATTCACTGAGTAGTCATCATATCTAGGACCCGGGTTGACTTTAAAACCTAAACCCGCTATACTACGCTTTAGAAAGTGGTTTCACTTGGCCATTTTCTAGAGTGACAGTAGGAGTGAGTCAATACCCCTCCGACAAACGCTGCGGAGGCAGCAATTTCAAAATGGGGCTTCAGTTTTAGGCTTCGGCGTATTATAATTTGAGTAGATAGTAGATAGATAGATAGATAGATATTTCTCCTATTTTTACTTTTTTTTAACTAGTTAGAGTCGATCTTCAACTTGTTAGACTCAATTATTCATTCTATTATCACTATTTTTCATTCATAAAGTGTTTTCCCCTTCATTTTATCGTAAAAAGTAAAATTTGCGTGTATTTTTTCAAATAACATGTAAGAGTGGGTCGACTCGCCCCGTCCCATACTCGTGTGGGTTTTACCCGCCCGACCCGCAGTAGCGTGGGGCGGGGTATGGTTATTGAGGTACCCCCGCCTTAACCCGCTCCATTGCCATCACTACCAGAGGGGTGGTCTGCAGGGAATGAGCGACTACTTGACTATGAAATCGGGACTTATGAAGAGTTAGATGACCACTAGAAAGCACTATTGAACGAGCGGTTCAGCCTCTATGCCAAGGGGGTGGGCGCGGCCTCCTTGTCGGAGCTTTATGAGGACTAGAGGTGGAAATCAGTACGGTATCGGTATCTCAATACCAAATACTGAAATCCTGAATACCGAATTACACTCTAGAATCAATTTCAATCCCTAAATAATTTCGGTATCCCAATCTCAATCCCTAAATATTTTGGTATCCCAATCGGTACTTCGGTATCCCAATCGGTATTATCGAATACGAAATCAATTACCTTTACAATTAATAATTAAATATATAAATTAGATTTGATTGTTTAATATAGGACAAAGAGACTAAACAAAAAGAGTTTTGAGTTTGACTAGAGCTAGGATATGGATAAGGAGAATGGAGTAAAGGTGACATCTCAAGTTTTTGTCATTGGTAATCTTTAATTTGATAAATTGGAGGCTAAGAGAAGACTAGTACTAGTGTTTGCCTTTTGGGGTTATGAAAATAACAATAGATTGGTGGTTGAGGGTAGTGTAGTAGTGAATGAGAGAGTCTAGTTGAGAGGATAAAATACACACTAGCTTATATTTTGGTATTGTTCGCTATTTCGGTATATACCGATCCCAATCCCGTAATCCCTAATACCGAAAAACAATTGAAATTGAATCTGCATCACAATAAATAATACGTGTATTCCCTGATACCAGAAAAGAAGAAATAAGATTCCAACCCGAGAGCCTCAAGCTCCAAAACCTTCTGTTTCATCGAATTGTGTTGTGTTCCTCTTTTCCCTTCTGTTTCATCGAATTTTACATGGTATCAGAGCTGATCTGATCTGCCCTAGTTCTACGACATGTCCGACGACGAGTGCTCCAAAACCTCGGCGTCCAAGTTGAAATCGGCGGCCTCCACATCGCTGGCGTTGTCGCTGCACCTCTCCTTCACCAGTCCGACAGCCTCAGTCACATCTATGTGAGAGAGCTGCTTAGTGACGTAAACTATGGCGAGTGGGTGGTGGATTTTACCGATTCGCTCATCGCCAAGAACAAACTGTGTTTCGTGGATGGAAGTCTTCCTGCGGCCCAATCTCAGGCTGAAACTAAGGCGTTAAGGCAGTGTAACGCGACGGTCAAGGGATGGCTCAAAGCCTCCATGACAAAAGAAGTTTGTAGCAGCGTGCGGTTCGTGGCCACATCAAGGGAATTTTGGGTTGATTTGCAATCCCGATTTGGCAAGAGTACTGCGTCGCGCTTGTATGAGCTAAAGGGAATGATCATCTCGCTCCAACAAGAAAAGGCATCGGTTTCAGCCTTCTACACGAAGCTACGGGGGTTGTGGGACGAGATTCAATCAATCACACCCTCACTTGAATACACGTGCTCCGGCTGCAGATGCGATGTAAAACGCCGGCAGCGTGAGGTACGTGAGAGTGAAACACTTTTTGACTTTCTCATGGGTCTAGATGATGCCTTTTCAACAGTCAAATAACAAATATTGGCAATGAAGCCGATACCTAGCCTTGGGGAAGTGAATCAGTTGGTGATGAATGACGCTCATCAGCGACAACTTTCTAGTAGCCATCGGCCCAGGCCCGAGGCCGCGACCTTCGAGGCTCAGGGGGAGCGTCGTCAAGAGCGCTCTAAATGCTCATCTCCTCGGCCTGACCGTGAAGTGGACGACAAGCCCGGCTGTTCGCATTGCCGGTGACGCGGTCATTCTATGGAAACCTGCTACCAACTCGTGGGCTATCCTCCACGCGAGTCTCCTCGACCAGATGCTCCCTCACGTGGTGATCGTGCTCCTCATTCGACGCCGCAAGTAGCACAGGTCGACGCGTCGGCAAGCACACTGCCAGGACTCATAGCGGCACAATTTGAAGCTCTCGAGGCACTCTTGGGTTCTGATTTGGCACATCCTGCCTTGGCTTCGAACGAGCCTTCCTCAAACATGGCTGGACTTACTCTCGAAGAAGCTGATTGGGATGGGTAAGCACGTGGATGGCCTCTACTATCTCCGATTGTTGGATAGTGCACACCCCATGGCGAACACCGTGCAACGGTCGATTGATGGTTCCAGGATGTGGCATTCTCGACTCGAGCATCCATCCTTGGTGAAGATGAACTTGTTACAGCATTCCCTTGGTTGTTCTTTCATTCACACTGAAGAATCATGTCGGTCTTGTTTGCGTGCTAAGCAGACTAGAGATGTTTTTAAAGAAGCAAATTTACACTTCCCGTGACGTCATATTTCTCGAGAATGTCTATCCCTTCCATGATCTCGTCGCCTCCAAGCTTGATCCGGCTACAATATCAGCTCCTTCCTTTACGACTTCGCATCCTGTCGATGATGATGTTGCCTACTCCCAGCCGCAGCTGGTTCCCACTTCATCGGCAGAAGCCGAGTCTTCTACTGCTCCTGATACAGCTTCTGGGTCTTCCGAGGAGACCACCTCGCCTCAGTCCCCTATTTCGGATCATCGACGACCACGGACGTTGCTGCCTCATCACCCATGCCCTCGTCTGCGTCACCTATTCTGGAGCCACCCCCACCTCGCCGTGGTGATCGAGTTCGGTATCCCTCCACTCGGCTCGCTGACTATGATGTTCAACTGCCTGGCGCTGCCCATTCAGCTACCACGGTATATCCTCTAGACGATTACCTTAGTTATCATCGTCTCTCGGCTGACCATCATGCGTTTGTCGCGGCGGTCACGGCTATTGATGAACCAAGGTACTTCTTCCAGGCAGTCCGTTACAAGCAATGGCGCGATGCCATGCAGGTCGAAATCACCACTCTCGATGCTAATGGCACCTTGACTTTGGTCTATCTACCTCCAGGAAAGAAGGCTATTGACTGTAAATGGGTTTACAAGATTAAATTCAACCCAGATGGCTCCGTTGAGCGCTACAAGGCACGTCTTGTCGCCAAAGGGTTCACCCAAATCGAAGGGGTGGACTATCACGATACTTATACACCGGTTGCCAAGTTGGTCACTGTCTGTTACCTCCTTGTCGTTGCTCTTAACCGGGGGTGGCACATTCACCAGCTGGATGTTAATAACGCCTTTCTTCGTGGCGATTTGCAGGAAGAGGTCTACATGAAGATCTCATAGGGTTTTCCCGTCCTAGTGACACTAGGGTATGCCGATTGAACAAGTCCCTTTATGGATTGCGGCAAGCCTCTAGGAATTGGTATCAAAAGTTTACGCAGACGTTACTCGAATTTCAGTTTGTGCATAGTCGGGCTGTTCATGCTCTGTTTACTTACCGGCGTGAAGATACATTTGTCGTGGCACTCATCTATGTCAATGATGTGATTCTCACTGGAAACGATCTCTCCTTTATTCATCAGGTTAAAACCTTCCTTCACGGTCGGTTTACTATCAAGGACTTGGGGCCTCTCAAGTACTTCCTTGGGATAGAGGTTGCTCATTCTCCGAAGGGGATGGTTCTAAATCAACGGAAGTACGTGTTAGATATTCTCACAAATGCCGGTTTAACTGCAACTCGTCCTTGTTCGACTCCGATTGAGCAACAACACCGTCTGGGGCGCGATCCTTCTCCCCAGCCAGTGGCGGATCCAGGGGGTGGCCACCCCGGGCTACGGCCCAGCCCTCCTCTGGATCCAAAGCTAATATAGTCTTTATGAATTTTTTGATTTTAGTCATTCGGCCCAGTATTATTTTATAATAAGATTGAGTATAGCTAGAAAAATAGTTCAGATGAATATATTTAAATCACTACTCTAAATTTAGCCTATAAATTATAGCCCAAAAAATTTTCTTCTAAAAATATAATGAAACCTAAAGTTCTAAAAGTCTAAAGTGTAAAAGGCAAAAAGAAATATAAGGTTTGTTCCCTTGAAAAGTCACTTGAGGAGTTGTTGGATGTAGGAATGGATACATAATAAAACATGTGAGAACTAATTTGCGCAATAAAACGAGCGGTGAATTTCTTGTCGATTGCTTAACTATTTTATTTGAAACAGATTGTGGATGTAGACTTCATTATTGATGCATTTACTACATTAAAAGACCGTCGTGTACAATTACCATTGTAAAATTAACTATAATCATTATATTTTTTACGTTATTTAATTTTCTAATAAAATGCGGCCCAGTGCTCTACAATGTTCTGGATCCGCCGCTGCCCCCAGCGCGTGATCCTTAGGCCTATAGGCGCCTTGTTGGTCGATTACTGTATTTGACAGTTACTCGACCCGATATCGTTTATGCCGTCAACCTTCTCAACCAGGCCATGCAGTCCCCTACTCAGGCTCACGAGGATGTCGCAGTCCGTATCCTTCGTTACCTCAAGGGGTCTCCCAGTCGTGGAGTTTTTCTCTCGGCTATTTCCCCTCTGATGTTGACTGGTTTCAACGATGCTGATTGGGGTGGGTGTCCTACCACTCGCCGTTCCACAACAGGTTTCTTCATCACTCTTGGCGGTTCGCCCATTTCTTGGCGGACAAAGAAGCAGACTGTTGTTGCTCGCTCCTCCGCTGAAGCCGAGTACCGAGCGATGGTCAGTACTGTCAGTGAGCTTATCTGGCTCCGCTGGTTACTCAGTGATCTCAGCATCCCCTCCT